AAGAAAGAAAGAAAGAAAGAAAGAAAGAAAGAAAGAAAGAAAGAAAGTTATCAACCTTGCGTGCCCGCGTACGTGCAGTACGCTCGAGAGGTGTCCAGCATGTGCACGAGTCCTCCGCCTGCCCTGCTGCACAATGACGTCAGCACCATTGGCAGGAAGCCAAGGGGGCGGATCGGTGACGTAGGTGGCTTCCCATTCACAAGCTGGGCGACTATAAAGTCGTTCGACGCGCCTTCGGAGGGAAGTTATTCTTTAAATTTTCGACCTTTTAAGCACTCGAAAGAGGACCGCAACTACCGGATACACTAACGAGCGAAAGAGGACCCATTTAGACGACCTTAAAACTTTTTGTCGTCGTCTTCTTTTTTATTTTTTATTTTATTTTATTTAGCTTGAACGTTTTTTTCTCTTTTAAACAAGCTAACCGAAACAAAGGACTCACAGTCTCAAAGGTTTTCTTTGTAACATTGCGAGAGACATTTGTTGTTTTTATTCAACACAACTTAAACTTGCATACTTCTGCGGTTGAACATTTATGTATTTGGATTTGACATACATATCCCACTGTACTACTATGGTCATTATGGAGGTTCCCACCATCGACTGTGCGTCCCTCTGTGGCCTGTTGGAGGGCGACGTCCCGGGCTGCCTGGTGCTGGACTGTCGCTCCTTCCTGTCCTTCAACTCGTCCCACATTTCAGGCTCCACCAACGTGCGCTTCAGCACTATTGTGCGAAGGAGAGCCAGGGGCGGGCTTGGACTGGAGCATATCGTCCCCAACGAGGACACCAGGAACCGACTCCTGTCCGGAGAGTACCATTCCGTCGTGCTGCTGGACGACCGGAGTTCGGACTTAAGCCAGGTGAAGAAGGACGGCACGCTGAACCTTGCCATTTCAGCCCTGTGCCGCGATCCCTGTGGAGCCAGCGTGTTTATGCTCAAAGGTAAGAAAAAGATACTGTTTCCGTTTATTTACAGCATCATAACAACTGGGTAACAAATGCGGCTCCCAGCTGTCACCCTACCAGTTGGTCCCGAAGTAAACAAAGCTCCAAAATCCCCCCCCCCCCCCAACACACACACACACAACTACCACTAGAGCTACCAAGAGCAGCTCACACCTTTTTTGGACTGTCATTCTGTAATGTGACCTTTATTTTTGTTCTACCTCTTTCTTTTATTTTTAGGAGGATTCGATGCCTTTTCCTCTGAATACCCAGAGATGTGTACCAAACCCTCCCCACCACAGGGCCTTAGTTTGCCGCTCAGCTCCAGACAGCCTGAGAGTGCAGACCCAAACTGCAGTCCGTGCAATACGCCTTTATACGACCAGGTTTGTGGATTCATTTATTTCTTCACCTATTTTGTATTCTAAAAACCTCTTTACTTTTGTCTTTTTTAGTTTGCTCTGTGGGCTAATTTTTTTTCTTTTCCTCTGTCTCTTTTTCTAGGGGGGTCCTGTGGAGATCCTGCCTTTCCTGTACCTTGGCAGCGCTTACCACGCTTCCAGAAAAGACATGCTAGACATGTTGGGGATCACGGCTCTAATCAACGTCTCTGCCAACTGCCCCAACCACTTTGAGGACTCCTTTCTCTACAAGAGCATCCCCGTTGAGGACAACCACAAGGCAGATATCAGCTCCTGGTTCAACGAGGCAATTGAGTTTATCGGTAAGTGCCGTGAAAGCCTTTCCACTCCCTCGACTGCTAAATGTGGGCGCCTGCCGCAGCTGTTGCATCTGAGTCCGTTGATGGCAAACACCCAACCCCCCTCTTCTCTCCGCTTCTCCCTTTGACTTCTGGATTTAAAATTTGAAAAAGTTCCCTCCAAAACCGACCAGCTGTCTTGACACAGGCTCCTTGCTCCAATACAATGGTGGTTACATCATCACCACCTCCAAGGCATAGAAAAGGGGATGTCCCCCCTTTTAATGAATTGTGAGGCAGCAGCCCTGAACCTGTTTTGTCGTGGGGAGACTGGCTGTGCTTCAATAGCTCTCTCCATACTACTCTTTGTTCCGACTGAACAAAAGCCAATTTATCCTCACTCACTGTCAGCCTTCCTCCCAGATCAATACCCCCCAGCAGGGGTCTGTTCCCCTCTTTTGTTCCTTCACCATGCCTCCTTTGGGAATAACCCCCACAGGCTCACACCATGCGTGGCTATTAACTGTGTTCCTGTGCCTTAATGAGCTCCTTTCAAAAGAAACCAAAAGTGTTGCAAGCACTTTTGTGTTTGTTTCCTGTCACAGAAAAATTAGCCGTCTGTATTTAATCACCTTTATTACAGTGCAGTCCTCTAATTTTGCTTTATCCTCTCTTTCCCCAGATTCAGTGAGAAATAAAGGAGGCCGCGTGTTTGTGCACTGTCAAGCAGGCATCTCCCGCTCTGCAACCATTTGCCTGGCCTACCTCATGCGCACTAACCGCGTGAAGCTGGACGAGGCTTTTGAGTTTGTCAAGCAGCGCCGCAGCATCATTTCCCCCAACTTCAGCTTCATGGGTCAGCTGCTCCAGTTCGAGTCCCAGGTCCTGGCCTCGTCCACTTGCTCCTCGGAGGCAGGCAGCCCTGCCATCGGCAACAGCAGCACGGTGTTCAATTTCCCCGTCTCCATCCCTGTGCACACCTCAGCCGGCCAGCTCTCATTCCTCCACAGTCCCATCACCACCTCTCCCAGCTGCTGAGGAAGGAGTGAGCAGAACAAACTTTGTTTGGACTTGAACTGACGAGAGAATCTGCACAGAACTCTTCAGAGAACGCGGTTCCAATCGTTCTCCCTCTGTCCATTTATGGTGATGCTGGTATCACCGGACAGACTGGTTACTGACGTCTGGGGCCTGCTGCTCCACTGTGTTGGCCAGTTATTTGTAGTTTGGCCTCAATATTTCAAAGGGGGATTTGATATCTACCATCAGGCAGTATTGATGTTTCACTTTTTTAATGTGAAAGTCCTCCGCAGGACTTAAATGAAGGCTAATGAGGATCATTAGTTCAGTATGGATGATGACTATTTATTGAATGGATATTTTTTATTTCCTCTTTTGACGATGACAACTGCTTTTGATAATCACAATCATTTGAAACAAAACAGAGGGCTAATAGTTGTCTCAGGAGTGCTGACTGAACCTCTGAAAAGTTCGTTTTTGTACTCTGCACCTGTCAGAGAAGTGTAACCCTGTTTCCCAGCATGACATGGAAGTTACTCGTGTTATGCGAAGATCAACGAATGTATCCTCTATTTTTGGAGAAGCTCAAATCTTCCTTTTCAGCCGTAGACTCGAATAAGTTTCAGATATTCTTGCCTTTCGCTGACGATCCTGACATGTTGGGGGAACCAACCGTAAAATACCTCATGTTTCTGTACTGTGTACTGCAGGCCTGAGATGGACCGAACCCCAGAAACCGCTCGGATGGGGCCACGGTGCCTTCTGTGACTGCATTCTGACATATTTATTTACAAAAGTAATATATTTCTATTTTTACAAATGTCTCTTTCATGTGGTTTTTATACATCAGAATAAATCCCATTTGACTTTTTTACCCACTTGTTTCCATTTTTGGCCATGGTGACAACACACACAAAAAAGCAGAAACACTTATATGAGGTCATTAGTTGCCTATTCCCTTATTTGATCCAGAGTGAGCATTGATGTTAGCAACACATACTTAGACTTAGACTTAGACAGTACTTTATTGATCCCTTGGGAAGACTCCCTCAGGAAATTAAGGTTACCAGCAGCTTAAAGGGCAAACAGTGTACTTGGGAGTATTAGTGACTCCTCTGTCCATTCATTGTGTTAAGCAACCTTAATGGTTGATCAATATTTCTGGAACTGTAAGTTAAAAAAAATTAATCAACTGAACCAAAGATTTTTCAAACTATACTATGTAAAATGTATATAGAAATTTATATTAAGAATGACTTACTGGGTCAGCTAAAAAACCAAAGCTATAACTATTGAGTTAATTATTATGAAGAGTGAAACTCTCCTTACCCTGTTGTCCTCTGTGCTGTGATGGAATCCCCTTACATATATTGAAAAGGATTTCACCTAAATAAGAATCATGATGTCATGGCATCAGCCATTGTTAGGGCCACACTCTCTGTGTGAACCCATCTGAGGCCGGGGCAACAGCAGGAGGCTCAAAGAATCAGCTAAGGAGCCCTCCTTCTGCGGCCACAATAGGAGCAGCTGCAAGGCGTTTGGGAAAAGTGTGACAACTAAAGAGCATTCTGGCTCAGTCAAACACCGGCCTTGTGTCCTTTGCCACACACATAACAAGAGAGGAGGGTGGGGCAGAGATAGCCGTGAAAGGGGAAGCAGTATGTTTGGGTTGCAAAATAGGCAAAACACTGGCTGTGAATTGCAGCAGGGTGTGAGATAAACACTCCCTCTTTAGATGAGGAAATTTTTCACAGCAACAGCGATTCATGAAACCTGTGGCCTCCGGGGACAAAACCGGAGATGAACAAGTTGGCGAATCCAAAAATCCACGTCTTAAAATCACGCCGTGGAGAAAAAAGTTTATCATGGGCAGAGAGCTTTACCAGCGCTAATTTTTCTGTGGTGAAAGACCCATTCATCACCTCGGCGGCTCCTCCAGACAAGCTGTGGCTTTGGTGACATATGTGCGACCCCCCCCACCCATCAGCCCGCTCCCCTTTGTGTCCCTGGATTTCCTGTTGTAAGGAGCGAGGTCGTCAGGGGGGTGTGTTTGCGTCTGTATGTGTGAGAATGTTGCCCGGCATCTTGGGAAAGGAACACAGTCGGTGTTAACGTTTGCAAATGAAGACAATCTGAAAGTGATGCAAAGCAGTTGAGGGAAAAACTTCTGAAATTAGGACAGCTCGCCATGATGTCACTATGAGGTTTAAAAAAAAGGAACAAAATCCATGTTGAGATTACTAATGCCTGACTGAATCATCCGTCTTTTTTTATATTCTCAGATTTCCCAACAGTTTCAGCATTACAGCTTGGCTGATCCACCAAATGGCCTGCCGTTTATTAGCTCTCCTCACCTATCAGGCTGAGCCAATTGACACAATCTTGAGAAAACAATGACAGCACAATGTGTCAGACAACCTCCTCAGACAGAAAGAGAAACTGATGACAACTGATTTTAATGAAGCAAAGTCCCTCTAATAGCTCATTCCCCTGAATAAGTAAATTTTTTACTTGACTTCTCTCACACAAGTCTCTCTCCCAAGTACCTGGGAAGATGGCCGCCTGGACGTAATGTGAACAGCTAGAATGTGTGATACATTAACAGCTAAAAAATGTTTTTGTTTTAATATCTCAGCCACGACTCAACAGTAGTCATGAGGCTTTATGGCCTGTGGACATGCTGATCTTCAGTGTTGGCATTGCCTACAGAGCTACCAGAAAGGGTGAAGTCTGTATTTTTTTGTCTAAAAACACACTGCAAGGTAACAAAGAGACTGAAAGAGGCCTACTAAAGGAGACAGGGCTGCTGTGTGTGGCTGACATCCATTCCTCTGCCAAAAGTCCTAAATTAGAAGGATTATCTTGATTAGAAGAAACCATGATTCAGCACAGCTGACAGGATGAAATTAGATTATCTGATCGTGAACATGTTACAAGCCATTAAGCTTGTTTTAAGAGGTGTAACCACATTTCAAAAACCTTTTACTTTGGCCACTTTCCTTGTGTGGAGACGTGACTCAAAATCCTGTCTGTGAAAAACGTGTAACTCCAGCCAATCAAAAAGAGTATAAATTTAGGATAATTTCCCATGTTACTCTGAATAACTCCAAATGAAACCTTAATATAAGTTATTCAGGGGGAAGTGGTATTTCACAATCCCCCACATTGCCACCACACAGACCCCTGGGCTCTCACGTGTTATTACAGAGATGCAGAACTGAGCCCTGAAACAACACGATGTGACCTGCTGCCCAGTTTCCCAATATTCTGAAATGCAACAATGGCGGCCGGTCATGCTGCTCGCTGGAGGATGTTGGGTAATTATACTTCTCACACTCAGTCATTACCTTGAAACTGGATTAGGTCTCGGAGACATACGATATCCTGAGTGGGGAGATTAAGTCCATACACTGATGTCATAACAGAGCAGGCACCAGAGGAGATCTGTAAGAGGATTGCCGCTGTGGGCCATCCCGAGGCCGAGGAATCTGAGGCATTGCAGGGGCCTGTTCTCCTCTTTACATCAGCACTCATTGTCCCACAACAACCCATTCAGAAGCAGGAGTAGATAAGTAAATGTAGAGGAAGAGAATGACACAGAGATGGTGATCTGGGTTCAAAGTAATCTATATCAATGACATTCCAGAGCACCTCTTTAAAAGAGCCAGACGAGCCGCGGTTGCGTGACAGGAGCAGCAATAAGGCCAGATCTATGGCCTGATAACCAAACATTAGCGCCAGGAATGTCAGGACGTAGCGCGTTGCTGCACTCAAACTGGCCTTCCTTTTCTAGCAAGTCTCCCCTTCCTTTAGCAGCAGCGTCTGGAATGTCAGATGACGGTGGAAGAAACACTAAAAAGGCCTGCCCAATAGGTCAGCGCCTGCCTTATCAAACCCCGCTGTCACACTGCGTTTGCAGCTCCATCTCAACTCAACTCAACTCAACTTTATTTATAAAGCGCTTTCAGTCAGCCAGAGCTAAAATCAAAGCGCTGTACAGGCCATTTGAGCAGATCATAAAACACAATTATCACCACAACACAAGACAAACTCAAAGATTAAAAAACAGTAAGAGCAAAGAAAATAAAAAATGACAAATAAAAATAAGAAATCTGTCCTGATAAGAGCCTGTGCTATATGTTGGTACAAATCGACGGCCTTACGTGTGTTTTAGAAAATACAAATGGATTAATAAAACTATAAAAGAGCAAAGGCACCATATTTATTTCTGCTGTGAGCATTAGACCTCATCTCCCGTTTGGACGCCTGTTGGGACCCCTCTTAAAGCCCGGTTCACACCACACATGCCAGTATTTTTCCACTCGCCGGAGGGACGTATTTGTGTTCACAAGCAGAAGCAAGATCCTATATGGAGTATTCAAGGAATGTCAGGCATCCGGCCTTTTATAGCGGCTGCACTCTGGTAGGATGATGTCACACCCAAAAGGCAAACATATGTGCAGACATCTTTTGCAAAGATGCTGATAGATATCTTTGCCTGCCACAACAAATTAGGTCACTTATTTTGGAAGTATCATTAAAGAAATATTGCCATACTTATATCATTGGTAAAATAGGCAGTGTTTGTCAAGTCGTTTTTCTTAGAATTAAACTTTAGTACCATTGCTAATATTTGGTGAAAAGGGTCATATTTCTCTGTATATATTGAGCTTGTTGATCAAACTGGAGAAGAGTGGTAGCTCTGGGTATGAGCAGGGGCCCTCCTCCTGAATCTCGGCTGTCTCACAAGCAGCAGCGGACCCTCGTGACTGTAAAATGATGTCAGTGCTGTGTTACTTGGTGCATAATGGCTGCTGGAGGATCTATTTCAAAGAAAAAACACATCCCTAACAAACATTTGGCTACATGTACTCCTTGGTAATATAATAATAATGTATTACTTGTTTTTTCTAATGGGCCCTCCAGTGAATGATAAAACGCTGAATATTACAAACATGTGAGAATGCCTTAAAGTCTTGTTGACTCAAAAATAGAAAATTGCACTCTCACATATCTTC